TTTTTTTGGTACCAGGGATCAAACTTGGGACCTTACGCTTGCAAGGCAGGCGCCGGAACCACTGAGCTAAATCCCCAGCCCCTAGAAATATATATTTTAAAAACTCATTGATGTAGCTAAAGAACAGAAAATCACATTTGATTTGGTTAATTCCACTCATTGTTAGAACTTACATAGATACCTTTCATAAATGTAAAGGCCTATGATTTATTGTTTGCTTAACAGAAATAAAATGAAAGAAGACATAAGGTGGTAGTATAGAAAGAATGTTTTCCCCAGAAAGACTTTCTAAGATTCTGGAGACATCAGGAAAATGTCTAGTTGTACTGAGGCACAAGTCTGGCTTTGGGCGAGATGGTGTTGTGAGCTGCCATTTTGCCAATGTCGCCGTCCCACTGCTGGAGCATTGATTAGACTTGTAAACTGTGAGCTCCTCTTCAAAAGAGGAAGAAGAGAGAGGACTGGGAAGAGGACTGAAAAATTCCATTTTGGGAGCTTTAAGAGTTTGGTTGTAGAAATACTATTTGAGATTTTTTTTTAATGCCTGCTATGTTGCAGCTTATAATTAAATTTTTAATGTCATGATTCAGTTATTTTATAGCTATGATTGGAGAGACTCGCTTTTATGCTATTTAAATATATTAAAATATATGAACACAAATATGAGCTGTATGAGAAGAAATATGACAATGTGAATTTTATCAGAAAAAAATGGTCATTCTTTTGCAATTTTCAGACCACCATTTGTTCCTCAAAGGATGAATTACTGCCATTTGGAAGCACAGCCAAAAGCTAAGGAAATAAACTCCAACAACTTACATTGAGAATTCTTCCAAGCATATAGAACAATATTTTACTAATATTGGACATTTAGAAGTTTGTTAGAACTATTATATTAAATAGCTAATGACTTTGTGACCATTAGAGGAGATTCCTTTATGTGGCCCAGCAAAACCTGGAAAAGAAAAACCTAAACATTGATGTAAAGACAAAAAATGAATCTGCCTTGCCGGTAATACAACAACTCAAAATAAAATCACAGTCCTCATATCTTTTCAGATCTCTAATCCAAATTCCAACAAAACGCAGTCCATGCATCTTTTCAGACTCACCAATTGGCATGCATATCACAGATTTGAAGGGTTTTGGTCATGTTTTCAAATATATGGTTAGGATGTAAAAATTCATTATGTAAATAGTCTTAGTGATCAAAGACAAACTTTTTAGACCAATAATTTTCTAGAAACCTATAATGTAGAGAAACATAATTTGCTATATAAAACTTTGACTGAGTTTAGAAAGATTTTATAGTAATTCTTAACATGAGAAAATTTAAATATTTGTTTTCCATATTTGAGTTACGTGATAAAAATAGAAGGAAATAAGACCAATAGTTTTGTCTCTTATTTGGTTTTGGAGCAAACTATAAGAGGCCAAGATCTGGCAAAATACATACGTGCACACGCCATTTGCAGTATCTGAAGGTCTGTATAAGTATTTGCCCCTTTTTTTATGAGCCTCTCTTCCCACAAAGAAATAGGAATTGCAGTGGGAAAGTCTTCAGTTGTACAGATTTCAAAATGAATTTTTACAACCCAGATGATGGACTGGTATACTTCAAACGTGAGGTCATGAAGTTTCTAAACGCATTTCTCTGCTCTCTTTATCTTGACTAGTTTATATTGTAATGGAGAAATAACATTTTAAAAATTTTGAATAGGCACTTACTGGAATTACAGTTAATCCTGATACAATCTAGATGGGGAAGAATAGATGAAAAATGAAAATTTATCCTTCAAGGTAATAGCTGCAGACATCCAATAAAATCACAGTCCACCCTTCCGGGGACAGACACATGCAAATATGGCCACTCCATATCATTATTCTTTACATACTTCTAGAACCCAGATTTATTGTTATAAAACTGTACCATTGGAAACAATAAGAGAATGTTTAAAAAAAATGGCCAATTCAAACAAAGCTACATGGTGACAAATCTAAGTGAATAAAGAGTAGTTAACTGTCAAAGATGCTTGACTTAGACTGGCTGCAACTTTCTCCCCATTTGTGAAAGAACATATCATCACTTTCAGCAAAATTAAAAAGTGCTCCGTCACAATGGGGTGTAGTGCAAGCTCAGCTAGGCTCAGACATCTTGGACCTCTAAAATCTAAGATCCCACAAAGGCCAACAAAATTCTTCAGAATTGCAGGGGTCAAATGGAGAGCAATTTAAAAGTATTCTCATCTCACTTGAATGTTTTTTGTTTGTTTGTCTGTTTGTTTTTAAATTTCATTTTCCTGTACACAATACAGTAACAGCCAGATGTTGGCTGGATTCCACATCTTCTATTAATTGCAGGAGGAAAGAAACAACTGTATGCATCCTACAGAGTCATTTTCTGGGCACACAAGCCTACTTCTCTCTTTGTAGCTACCACTGTTATCTCTATGCAGTAAGTGTTGTGAAATTTTCCCTTTCTTATATTATGAAGGCAAATACTATAAGAATAGAATGTCTGATGTGGGTAACACAGATTGTGATGATAGTGGTCATCTTGGAAGAACTATGTGGAGTGTGATATATATATATATACATATATATATACATATATATATACACATATATATATATATACATATACATATATTTGTTGGCTTTGGTTTTAATGCCTTTGGGGAGCATGAAAAATATAAACCTAGATTCTGTTTCCATATAGCTAAGTTTGTCATGTGTCGTCAACCGCATCAGAAAAGTGGTTGCAAGCAGCCAAGGGCCAGCAGCTACACAACTCTTTCTACAGAATGCTTTGCTGATAAAAAAAAAATTCCTACCAGTGTTTTCTACTTTGACCAGCAGCCTCTTTACTATGATTAGGCAATTTATTTTGACTGGCTTGTAGTAACCTATCATTGTCACTAGAGGGAAATCTAACAGAACAGTAAATGAGACTGCTGTTAAATCGCTTTAAAAAATAAAATCAATTTATTATTTAACTTAATTTTGCTAGTGTTTAATTGAATGTAATTACATGCAATAACCTACCAATGGGTTAATTTTTATTTTGTGAGTTACCATTCTGCCCAGCATAATTTGAAAAACTAGGTAGGGTTGCCACATCTTCCTAGTCTTCTAAATATATGTAGATTCAAATTTTATCTTTCTTCCTCTGTTTATTCATTTCTATGTGTATTTTGCAAAATACAGTAAAACCTCATTCATTTTTACTCCTTCTATTTGGAGTGAATTGTCATATTGAAACTTATTGGGCAGAATATTAAATCTTCATTTGGTATGAACAGAGATCTCCTGAGAAGTTTTCTTTCAAAATAAAACAAGGTTTTGAAATGCCAAGTTCACAAAGAAAACTGATTTAAAATACTTCACTATAAGTTGAATACAATTTGTGTGAAACCAGGTGATACATAAGAGTGATTCTTATCCACGAATTAAAATCAGCCTAGTGAGCCCTTTCCTTAACAAGATTTTCTCAGCTATTAGTTTGTGTTTTTGAATGTAATGGAAAAAGAAAACTGCTTAAATTTGAAGAATCTATCATTCAGATTTTTTCTCTACTCAGCGTGACTCTCCCCCCATATTCATCCAGATTGGTGAGGTTTTACTGTAGTGACTGCTTCCTAATGGCACACAAACAGGAAAGCATTATCTTTCTGTAGAAGAGACTGTGTCCTCAGTGTTCTCGTGGCTGTTTGCTGAGGGTCGCAGACTTTGGGCATTGAAGGGTTGTGGATCGCTGTTTGATAGCACACAGTACTTCAAAACAGAAAGGATGAAGGACCACAAAGGTGACTATTCAAAGGAGAAGCCCATGAGAGACAGTAAAATCAACTGCTAATCTAGATAGCATGGCTGAAATTTGAAATTTTGTATGTATATCATCTAAGTAAAATTAGTCAGATTCTTATTTATCTGCAAAGATATCGCTTATAACTAATCAGAAAAGTGAGCAAATACAACAGGAAATTCCATTTGAGGCAAGTTTAATCCTCATTATTTACATTTTCAGCTCAACTTGCTGGTAGTTATGGCTTCACTTTGAACAACCTTTAGTGGTCGAAATCACAGAACAGTTCAGTCATGTTAAACATAACAAAAAGAAAAAAGATGCCCTCCCCCGAAAAACCTAAATTAATTTAAAGGATGGAAATAAGACCATGAAGTGTTTTAACTTTGCACGGCAAACAGGCTACTTGATCAATGTTTGCAAGCAAAACTGAACAGAAAGTGCAAGGTGTCAGCTGAATGGCGGAAGGCAGGTGGTTACCTAGGTTGACCGTCAGTTTCACGCGGCCCGCGTCCAGCTCCAGCCGCAGCGTGTCCGCGGAGTCCCTGGACGTGGTGGCCATCAGAATGCCATAGGCGCGCTGAGACCGGAACCGCAAGGACACGTCCTCGGCCTCTGTATGCATCACCACTGGGAGCTGGATCTTCATAAACATGCTCCCATCATAGCTCAACACCGTTGCCTCTGCAGATAGGAAATGCATTTCCTAAGCTCGTGGTCAATTGAGAGCAATTACACTTGGAAAACGGCAATCTGTCAAAGGCTATCTAGAACACAACACTATAAAATCAGCTCATCTGCTTAAAATAAGATATTTCAAAGGGAAAGAGAAGTACCAGGTACGGGTGAGTTCCTCTGTAAAGTATGAAATAGAGGCAGCAGCACCTGTTTGTTCCCATACACTTTCCATCTGTAGAATTAACCAAGTGGGATTGCAAGCGTATTACACATACATTTCCTTTCTCAATAGCAGATAAGTCTTTTTCTCCTCCTTCTACCCCTCCTCTCCTTCTTCTCTTCACCATTCTTTGAGAATTGAATACAGGCTCTTTGCACTGAGCCCTTTCTATTTTTATTTATTTATTTATTTAGTTAGTTAGTTAGTTAGTTAGTTATTTTGCCAGAGAGAAAAACCAAGGTCAGGACCATATACAGTGCCATATTGGTCAATTAAAAGGACTACAGATTTTGTTCTCATTTTTTAGCGTTCCACTCAGCCTTGTGATCCTTCTGCATCAGCCTCCCAGCCAGAATGCTTGGATTAAAGGGTGATCATAAATGCAAACCTGGTTGGAAATACCAGCAGCAATGTAACATGTGTTTAGTTAGGAACCATGAGGTCAGGGCCGGGGATTTAGCTCTGTGGTTTCACAGCCTGCTGCACATGCACCAGGACCTGAGTTTGATCCCCGGTACCAAAAAAAGGAACCATGAGGTCACTGCTGACTAGCTCTGTGAAATTAGTCAAACTTCCACTGGCTCTGGTTCTGTAGAACAAGAGGGCACAGCCAGAAGTCTCTAAGGCCTGTACTACCAGTAAAATCACGGTGCCAAAAGAAACTACTGTTACAACTTTTTCACAATCTTTACCTTTAAAATCAGCCACAACAAAAGAAATACTGATATGACAAATACATAGGAATTAGGTCAACACATTACCAAAGGTGCTGTTCAAAAAGAAAAATTGTGTGTTGCCAAACAAGAAAAGATGCTGCTTCTGAGCCACTAGTTGAACTAGGTAATTTTTTTAAAAACACAAAGTGTAACTTTATTTCACGGTTCATTTACAGGTAAGGACTAATGTAAAACATTATCCATAAGCACAACCCTAGTGTCCTAAAAATATCAAGCTATCGTGAAAATATCAACCAACTCTGTACCTTGGTTATCCTGGAGAAAGATGGGGTGAGAGTGAGGGTGTGTGAGGGAGTGTACTCAACTAAGGTGGATTGTGCTAGTGGGGAAGTTGCCTAATATTATGTTAAGTATATAAAGAAACGAGCACCGAAATACTATAAGGAATAGTCCGCTTCAGAGAATAGTCCGCACCATATGGCACTGCCATACTGCAAAACAAGTATGAATTGTTTTGTACTCTTACTGCTTCTGCTACCTCAGAGTGCCATTTATTAAGAAAAAACTACCTTGAGTTAAAATTAACTAGGGGATTTTTACTATCTTGGCTTTTTATATGGCACAGCATTAATTTTACTGTTACAACTATCCTCACTAGTAAGACTATATTCTAGAGTTGTGGTTTTGCAATAAGAACAAAATCTGTACACCTTTTAATTGGCCTATATGGCACTGTGAATGATCCTGGCCTTGGTCTTTCTCTCTGGCTCCAGCACCTAGCATCACCCCCTCACCTGGCAAGCTTCACCTATACCACCCCATGTGCTCATGAAAGTGTCTGCAGTCCTATGGTATCATCTAGAGATCTTCAAATGGCTGGCTCTTTCTGCATTCGGGTCTTTTGTCACACTGGACCCAGAGACCAGTCCCCCATAGCCTTTCTCTATGGACAGCTAATGCTCCAGTGTCCCAAGCAGGCCAGGCACACAGCAGAAACACTGTAAAAATTGACTGAATTATCAATCATACATGACACTAAAGTATATGGAAGACCTTATCTGAACTAGAATACAAAGCTTTATTTACTGCAAAAGGAACCGAATTCATTAATTTATGTGATCAAAATTTATCTTAAATTCTACTTTGAAGGAGATAATTAGGCTGCACAGGCAGACAAGAAAGGTATCTGACCTAGCCACTGAAAAATAAAATATGATCTTAAAATATTCTGATTCTGTTTCATGTCACTGAGTTTTCTAATTAGCTAAGAAGTTTCAATTAGATGAAAAGTTTCCCCAGTACAGCAATACTGAAAGGTCAGAGGTCAATGTGGGTGACTAAGTAGTAGTTGCTCAACAAATAATTAAAATATGATTATAAAATTGTAGTAAATTCTTGAAGACAGTTTTTTGCATGACTTTAAATGATTGATCTTGCCCTTTGTTTCCCTACATTCAATCCAATATGAAAAGTAACAAATATCTCAATTTAAAAGTTAAAAAGCCATTATCAACTGTTTGATTACTTTGGTATCAAAAAACATTGTTAGTTTTCTCCTATTATAAAACTGTACAACTATTCTACTATTCAACACTCATATTTTTAAAACATCCTCATACTCTTCTGTGTCATGAATCTTAATTTGAAAACTATGGTAGGAGACACCATTTTAAAAATATAGTTGTTTTACAATCAATCATAAATATATTATGAAATATGGTCCAGAGAAGGGAAAAAAAATAAGGATTACTGGACATTAACATTCTCCAAAATGCTGCACGAATGGAATAACATAGTAAAGTAATAAACTCGAGTGCCCCGAGTGCCATTTTAAACAATTCTCAATGTGAAAATAACTTGTTGATAAATGAGAACTGAAAGCCTAAATGATTCTTCATAATTAGAGTTAATGTTTAATTAGACAGAAATGCAAAATGCACAAGGTTGTAGTCTCGAGTTGCCAAATGGACATTAGACAACATTTTGACACCTGAAGGTTATGCTACTTGGCAGTGTACTTTAGCAGTAGCAAAATCATTTTATCGTTTAGAATATAAAAAGAGTCCCATAAAAGGCTAATTCTAGCACAATACTTTGCAGTGAAGGAGAAGAACAGTTTCAACTTTGTCTCCTATATCTCCTTCTCCTTTGTCATTACGTTTGACAAATTTGCTTTTCTGCATCATTCCTTGTTGCGGTCTAAAGTGTACACCTGTCTTGGTTTTGCCGAAAGGCAGTCACATATTGTGATCAACGATGAAAATCAGACAGGGAGCCAAATTATATTGCTCTGACATCTGTCCCTCCATCTGCTAGAATTTTAACAAACAAGTATAAAGTAGACCTTTGATTATACTAAAGCTCTTATTCTACATATTACTGAGAATAATTTCTATTATACAGATTATTCCTATAGAGTCAATACACATAAAACAAAATAGTATTTGACTCAATTTATAAACATTTTGTTCTTTCTTCTAAACCTTTTGACTCCTTAATGTGGGATGAAAATTCCCTATAACTGTACCACCCTTCACCAGTGGCAGTGTCTAAGGACATTAGCACACTTTTAAATTACTTTGAATAATTATCTCCATAAATGACAAAATATTGTTCAATAATTACAATACAGAAAATTTATAAATGTTGGCTTTTAATTTTTTCACTTCAAGAGTTTCATTTGATTCTGTGAGGTTGACGGCCTTATGTGATGATAACGTGTCTAGAGAGGACATGCAGCAAAGCCCTCTCTTTTAAATTGGAAACTCAGAGGTTTAAGCATGACCTTATATTTGATGAACTAGGGAACAGCTGGAAATGGGACAGAATCCAAACTTTGTGATTCTGATCATGACAAACACTCCATATTTCCCTTACACTCAGGAAGCGCCATAATCTGAGGCAATTAATTCTGAAAAACAAAGACTCTTACAATATGCTGGTGTAGTTCCAAGGAAAAACCACACAAAAATGACCATTTCACCATAATAAACATCCAACCTGAAGACAAAGAAACCCACAGAAATTTCTAGCTGTCCATGTGATAAAAATGTATTAACATATATTCTCAGTGAAGTTTGCTATTAAATTATCATTTGAAAATTTGCATATGCTTGCCACCTCTCCTTCTAATTATGGCAATATTAATTATTGCAATATATAAATTATTCCCTTTCCCTCATTCTGGCTCAGAAAGCTCTGCAATTTCTATTTTTATTTTTGCCATATGTAGTAGCAGAATATAGCCACAGGGTGGTACACCATGCATATGTAACTGAAAGCTTTTGTAATCCATGTGACAGCTGAGTTACACTTCTCCAGTTGTGCTTAAGGAGGAGGCTTCAGAATAACTGGCAGCTTTCTGAGTGATGAAAATTAAAACAAAACTTTAAATCATGCAGATCCACTAATCTCTTATTATGCCTAACTATATTGTACCTTGCCAGCTTTGTCATTTTTTTCCTCTCTTTTGGCAAATTTCCAAAAGCAAACTAGACAAACTAAAACTAGGAAGGAAATGGGGAAGAGGACATTTGTAAAGAATATAATCATACAAACCAAACTACATAGAAAGAACTAAGTTCTGATGACAACTCTCAGGAGTTACAATAGGTACTATCATAAGGAGAATTAATATGTCTATGTGATAAAATACTTGCCCATCTATTGACCTAGCTGTATTAGCCTTTATATGACACTGAAGCATTTTGGTAGGCTATTTAATCTATTATTTATTATTAATTCATTATTAGTATTTATAGTTATTAATTTTAGAAATATGATTAATAAGCTGATGTATCCACTTTTTAACATAAAAAATCAAAATCACATTTTAATTTGGGGTTTTACAAAATACCTTTTCTCTAGGAAGTTTTAGGGTAAATCAATGGAACTATTTCAAGAATGAAGGAAAGCAAATAACTAAATGCATGGCTTAACAATAAGAGGCAAGGTACTTTTAGACCAAAAATCTAATAGAGTAATGCTATTTGTACCATGAGAGGACAATGGAACAACTCATCAATATTTCTTCATATTGATTTTCAGTTCTGTTGCAGAAAATAAGTGACAACGGGCAGTGACTAAAGCATTTATCTGAAAGGCTGGGTCGATGGAAGGACATGCTTGGAACCATTTGTTCTGCTATTTCTTCTGTTAGCCTACTCTGCAGATCAGCTAGTGACAGCTGTCACACTTTAGTCTTCCTTTATCCCTTATTGCTATCTTTCTAAGAAAAGCATGAAAAAAATATAGCTTTATCTTCTCCTAGAGAAGAAGGAACCTGGTCAGAGATTCAACATATACAGCTTGCCTTAAAATAAATGGGTAAATGAGTCTTCCACAGTTGGTTAGTTCCTAGCCCAAGGTACCTTTGAAATTAAGATAGAGTTCTGAAAATGTTCATACAATTTAAATGATTTAAAGTCAATTTTTCAGTGAGAATATTCCTTCTTGGGAAAGCTGACAAAGTAAAATGCCCAGGCTAGCTTAAATCTTACCTAATAGTGTCAGGCAAGCTGCAAGTTACAGCTTAGCTTGCCTTAAATGCTATTAATTAGTCACAGGTATTAGCAAAAGTATGCCTAATGCATGACTTTTTTAAACTGTCTTCCATCGCGAAGTTAAAAATTGGGCAAAAGAGACAGCAGCTGCTGCTGTATACATCTTAGGCTCATGACCTATGTGACTGAAGATGCACATGTCTATCCCTGTAATAAACATAAAGACCTGTGTCTTCACAGAACCAGCCCCTTTGAAAATCACTAAAGGCTGATCAGTAATCCATGCCTGGTATAGGATTCAGCTCACAGAGTTTACTTCAATAAACATGTTTCAATAATCAGCTTGTTTGAGGTCAGCATTTAATGTACATTTCATCTAAAGGAATTGGCTGCTGTGTTTTGAAATCCTACCTCTCTCACAGGACCTGCCAAGGTAGCCTGTTCCAGAACAATCACAGACATATCTGTTCCACCCATCCCTGCACATGCCATTATTTTTGCAAGGATTGCTAAGGCACGGTTTTGCTGTTTCCCTGGAGCAGGAGGGCTTCACTCCAGCAGTACTTTGAACTTCAGCCATTTGCCGGATGTCTTTGCTCTGGCCATCAATGAATAAATCCCGGATGCAGCCCACGTAGCCATAGTTGAGCAGAGCAGTCCACACCTCAGTGGGGAAGACAAGGCCAGCCTTATTTTCTGGCAGGCCTCCCAGGTACAGCTCATCATCCAGGTCCAGAATCTCACTTTCACCAGGGGCAGTATAGGGCGTGCGCAGTGTGTTGACAGAAATGGTACCTGGTTTAAAGACAAAAGAATATGGAGGATTTTTCAGAATACAAAGAGTTTTCCTTGTCATCTTTTGTCTGTTTCATTTGCTTAAGGGTGACTCCCTGATGGTAGACATTGCTTATTATTCTTGCTATTCCTCATGTCTCGTACTTCCAAGTTGTATTAAGAAATCTATGGAATTAAGTAACTTACAAAATAAAATAAACTATATCTAAAGTGGTCCCTTTTGACTCTGAGAATGAGAAACAAAGTATAGGCAGCCAATAGTGTTGCTCAGCCTCTAACAGCTCAGTCATTAAATAAACACATACATAAAAATAAACTGGCATTCTATGACACTCTCTGAAACAGTCAGACTTTCCTTGGTGATTCTTTTCAAGTAACCATGTAACTTGATTTTCTTGTAAGTCAAGAAAACCTGCATGTCCCTTTTTTAACTGACTTGTTTTGATTGAACACAGCAGTTTGACAGATTATTTACATCAAAATCTAACTTCTTCATTTAGCTGTATGCATAATATATTGATTACTTCTGTGATTTGGAATTTCTTATCCATAATATGAGCATAATAATTTGACCTATCTCAAAAAAGATGCTTTGTGTATTAAGTAAAACAAATTAATGTTTGAATTATAATGACCACTGTATACGAGTTTAGTATTATGTTTCAGTGAAAGAATCAAGTAAAACCAGCTGCTTACTTCTGTCCAAACCAAATTATGTACATAAATCAATGCAGTTTTTGTTTGTTTGTTTTTACTTCAAATGTTTGGGAGAAAAATCTGTGTATTTATAAATATACAAGAACCTAAGACCTAAGTGAAATGATCAAGTATTCACTACATGGAAATATTAAAGGGTCACAAAAATGTGGAGTCCATGGAAAAAAAGATAAAAATAAAAGTTAAAAGCACATTCCTAATAAAATCCTAGATTTGTGTTGTCCAATTGCAAAAGTTCCCCAATATTCAACCTCCAGAACAACTTTTATACAGATTCAAATATGATACACATCACATGGGGCCATTACTACATTACTCTAGATTTATTTTTTAGATCTAAATCACAGTGCAGAAGAGGAAGAGTCTGATGAGAAAAACAGACCAACAAAGGTCTGATGCTGGGCCGCAACACTAGCATAGAGCCTCAGAGACACCAAATAGACGTGAGAAAGATTGGAGACAGAGGTGGTGTACAGAAATGAGGACAGAAAGGGGTGAGTTGTGGAGGAAGACACATTGTAGTTACTCATAAAGTACCTAAGCTCACTCCAACTGGGGCACATACCTGCTGACCCTATACTGTGCTCAGGAGTGTCCCAATCCCAACAGAAGGGCACTCCTTGAGCAGCACTGTCCAATGGGACTGGTTTTTTAGAGTGGGAAGGGCAGAAAAGCCACTGATAGAAACAACCCAGGTGGCCAAGTCATTAAGAGAACATTTGCCTCTCTAGGCTTGCAGAGAAAGAAACAGAAAAAGCTCCCAAGAGAGAAACACTCAAAGGCATTGCTATTTTGGCCTTCCAACAAGGGGAGCATAATTGGGATTTTTGAAAGGCAGCAGAAAGGGAAAGAGACCAAGTATTCACTTCTAATGTTCAGATTTGTGCAAGTGTCTAGATAAAAACTCTCAGTTAATAACATACAGGTTCCATAAAATCCAATCTAGAAAAATATGAGAAATGTCACTGAGGAAATTAAATACATGTAATATTGAGAGAGAATGATGATTCTCATAAATAGGCTGATCATTACATGCACTTTAAAGAACTGTTTTTGTAAAACTCTGTATAAAACACCTAGGAAATGAATTAACAGATGATCCCTATCCTCTGAAACAGCTAAGTAAGTTAAAACAGGTGGAGTTTTTTTTTTTTTTTTTGTGGTGCTGGGATCAAACCAGGGCATCATGATTGCTAGGCAAAAGCTCTACCCCAGAGCTATACCCCCAGCCCAAAGGTGGGTTTTTAAAAAGGACATACTGTATTTGTGTGGAATGCAAAGGTCTATATCCAGTGAACATAGTGACTTATATTTTTCAGATAAAAGAGGGAGGAACATTATTGTTTTTCAACTGTTACAAGAAGGCTTCATAGAAGCAGTATAATCGATATTATTGAGAGGAATTGTTATGAGACACAGAATTTAGCCAAATGAACAATGAAAATGTATTACAAGAGTGGAGTATACTTAAAATATGTATTTTCCCCATAATTTCAGCTTTCTTTTATTTATAGAACAATCCTGATGCAGCTAAGGAAAGAAAAGAAAAACTTGGCACAATAGTATATTACTGTGTATTCTCTATATTCAGAAAGTAATTTTGACTTCAAAAGGGTGGGTTCCTGAGACAAAAGATCTCATTGGCTAAAGCGAAACCTTGTTCTCAAAAGCCACCTTCCAGGGCTCAGCTGTGGTCATATGACTGAGACAATCAGCCATCCGAAGTATGACATAAAGGATGAGAGACTGGCTCTCTTGGGTTTTATTAGTTTGTTAGTATCTGCTGTGAACAAAGTATTTTAGGAAACTTCAAACATGTTTTTATGAATGTGTTTGTTCTCATGGTTAGAGTAATGTGATCCCTATAACTTTATATTTAGACTAGTTTTTTCTTATATTTAATAGAGTAAGACTATAGTTTTCATGTAGCCCCATTCACACTTACACACACACACACACATACCACTCACTGAATCAAAAGTTTAAATCAAGTAAGTGTTTTTTCTATATATTTTGCCTTATATTTAAGAAAATCTTTACAAAAGACAAGCAATATAAAGGTTAACTTGGAATGGAAACAATTATTTTTATATGTTGAAAATGTGTAAACTACTTGAAATGATAATTAAGTTTTATTGCTGAGTCAAACTCAGATACTTGTATTTTAGCCTATATATGTGCAAACAAATGTCTGAACTATAATATTTCTGATAAGAGATTTGAATTGTAAATCTCATTAATGATTTTACTATGGCTATGAATCAAATGATATATTCACCTAGGCAAAAGAGCCATCACAGCATCTGAATTAGTTTAAACCAATTTAACACATACACATGAGCTTAGTGAAATTTAAATGTTAGGGTTCCCAAGTGCTCCTTTCATTATCATTGAGTTAGAAAGGTAGGGATTTCAAAGAACACATCAAATGAATAATTAAACCTTGTTCACTGATAAAGACAAATGAGTTGTTGCCACAGATGTCTATGTCAATAAAAAATGAGAATTTCCCAGTGGCTGAGATAAATAAATTTTTAAGAGAAAATAAAAGTCTGGGAATATTACTGGGTCACTCCTGGTTTTCTAGGAATCAAAAATATTGATATGTCCTCTATTGATTGTTTCACACATTTCATCCCTTCTATCAATAGTGACAACTTTATGTGTGTGTGTATGTGTGTGTGTGTGTATAATTTGAAGGTTTTAGTAAATTAAATCAATACTTTAAACTGTTACATTTAAACTGTCAAAATTTGTGGATAGTATTCGTATTTGGGAATTTATTTAGATTGGTGGTTTATAAGATGTGGTTTTTTTTAATAAAATGGAGTACTACTCAGCCATAAAGAATGAGAAACTAGAGACATTTATAGCTAAATGGATGCATACCGAGGCCATACTCTTAAGTGGAATAAATTGGACACATGTGTAAATACTGAATAGTTTCTCCGGTATGAGAAAACGGAAAGTGTAAATAAGGATTAAAATGATTAAGATGAATAATTGAAAATTTGAAATAGGAAGAAAAGGTCCAAAGGGGTAGGGGAAGTGGGAGAGGAAGGGAAAAGGAAAAATTATGAGAAAAGGAAAAAATGAAAACAAAGTCTTTGTAAATGGGAGGGGTGGAGGGGGTGAAGGGAGCACAGGGAATGAGGAAAAAATAAGAACCAAGATACATCATGTACAGGTACAAGTACCCAATTATAAATGTAAACGTAATTGCATGAAAATGGGACATAAATTGTTGAAAATAGCTCTTGGTTATAAAAGTGGAAATCAACTTTATAATTTAGTATAGTGTTAATAACCTTATAGCTTTCCCCACCATTCCATTTTTCTTGGCTATTCTATTTCTGTAAGATTAGTTTACAGGGTGAGTGGAAACGTGAAGATTAGGTTTACGGTAAGTTAATTTGATTTCTAGTTTTAAATTATGACAAAAGTTTGAATTACTGGGAAAAGAGGAGTACAAAATAAAGTGCTGGGATGGAAAATATTTTTGCCTGGTGACAGAAAACTGATTTTTATGTTTTAGCTCTTAAGACAAATCAGGCAAGTTTATGAGTAAAGGAAAAAATGGAAACAAAGTCTTTGTAAATAGGGAGGGGTGGAGGGGTTGAAGGGAGGGCAGGAGAATGGGGAAAAAATAAGAACCAAGATATATCATGTACAGGTACAAATTCTCAATGATGAATGTCATCATACTGTATACCTAAAATGTACTAATAAACTCAATGAAAAAAAATCAGGAAAGTTTAGCTAAATAATGGATTCATAGGCCTCCTTGTTGTTTTATAGAAAATAAAGGAATTGGCAAGATGATCACTAAGGTTTCTTTTTGACTAGAGAAACTGGAAAATAGTGCTTAATATAATTTTTAAGTTAAACGTCAATTTTGTCTATCCATAATTATATTCCATCTCTACTGTAGGAAAACAAATCCACAAAGTTACCAATGTATTTGTCCACTTCATCCTCTATTAATAAATTCAAATTTAGTTTTTACTAGGTTTGATGCAACAAGAGTATGATATAATGTAAAATGCAAAATAAGTAATGCTCATAAAATCATAGAAAGAAATAATAGTTTTAAAGTCCCCAAAATATTAACAGCAGGGATTTCGAGAGATTCTGAGTGGTTAGTTGGTCTGTTTTTTAATTCTTTGTAATTTTCTGTCTTTAAAGAAAAATAATGTAGTATCTATAAAAAAGAACTGAAGAAAATTCATTTGAAAACAAAAAAATACAATCTTAGTTTTGTTTTATGCTTATTATTATTTGTT